TATATCTTCTACTTTATATCCTTTCCATCACTCTGTACTTCACTGTGTTTTTCCTCTTCTTCTTCTTCTTCTTCTTCTTCTTCTTCTTCTTCTTCTTCTTCTTCTTCTTCTTCTTCTTCTTCTTCTTCTTCTTCTTCTTCTTCTTCTTCCTCTTCCTCTTCCTCTTCCTCTTCCTCTTCCTCTTCCTCTTCTCTTCCTCTTTGTACCCCCTATCTCCTATCAGCTTGCTCAGGTCCATTAGGCTGCTGCCACCGAGGAGAAGAGTGGTGAGGTTTTGTGCTAGCTGGCCGGCCAGGCAAGGAGTAGGTCAGGGGATGGTGGCTGGCTGGCTGGCTGGCTAGGGAGGGGGAATCATGGCTGCTTTGGGGGGGATTTGCCAAGCAGGGTAGTGGCATTGGCAGCTCCCCCCACCCGGCCTGTTTCCCCAGTTCAGTTACCGGTAGCAGTTTCCTCAGCAAGCACCCCATGGCCCTTACCAAGTTTCCATTTCACAAGCTTTCTGGAGGTGAGGAGAAGTGCAGTTACTGTGCTGCCAGGCGGGTCTGGTGGGCAGCGTTGCCTTCCACTTTTCCTGCTGCTGCATTGGCTGCTGGTGTTGCCCTCCTGAGAGGAGGGTGCGGTGATTGGTTGGTGGCCATGCCACAAATGGAGATTGATCATTCCCCAAACCCCACCACTGTCAAAGGAGGAGGAGGAACAGGGAGAAGAAAGAGGGAAATTGGCCGAGCCGGCCAGGCACCAAAGCCCCACTGAAAAAAGTGGAGTCTCTTTGCGAGCCTGCCTAGCCCGCATCAGCCTTGCTCTCCACAGCGTGCTACAGCTGATCCGAGGCATGAAGAGTACAGCTGATGGATGAGTGCATAGCAGACATGCACACAGACTCTGCTGTTTTCGGCAGCGCTTCTGATCAGTAACCCTGCAGCAACCCTAACCCCATCGCTGTCAAAGGAAAAAAGCGGAGTCTGTGTGCACTCCTGCTTGCCTGTATCAGCCAGGCTCTCCATGGCATGCTGCAGCTGATCAGAAGTGCTTTTTCTGGTGGGGCTTCAATCCCCATTTGTGGCATAGCCATCAACCAATCACCGTGCCCTCCTCTCAGGAGGGCAACACTAGCAGCCAGTGCCGCAGCTGGAAAAGTGGAAGGCAACACCTGGTGGCTCAGTAACTGCACTTCTCAGCTCCAGGAAGCTAGTGCAATAGAAACTTGACAGTGAGGGCCGCTGAGAGAGCTGCTGAGGGAGCTGCTACCAGCAAGAGAGCCGTGGAAATGGGCTGGGTGGGGAGCTGCCAATGCTGCTGTCCTGAGGCTTGGCAGATCCCCCCCCCCAAAGCAGCCATAATTCCCTCTCTGCAGCCAGCCACCATCCCCTGACTTTGCCTGGCCAGCCAGCTGGCACAAAATCTCACCACTCCTCCTCGGCGGCGGCAGTCTGAGGCATGGGAGAGGAGGGGTAGGATTTTTGCTGCCAGTCTCTTTAACTTCTTAAAAGTTTACTTGATGCAGAATGCATGTCTTTCTCTTTCTGCATCAAGTTACACTGTCTGGTAGTGAAAATCCAATACCGGGGAAAAAATCCCAATCTCATGCATGGGAATCTGCACCGCCTGCCTCCCCCTCCCCCCATGCCTCGGGTTGACACCACCAGCAGCTCGCACAGGTCCATTAGACTGCCACCGCCACCCAGACGCCTGGCCTACCCAGCACAAAGGAGGCAAAATGTCTGGCCAGCAAGCCCCGCATAGAGGTGTAGAGCAAGCCCACGTCCAGCAAGCCAAACGCTACCCTGAGCGGGGAAAGCCAGATCCCCATTGGTGCCATGGCCCTCCAGTCCCAGCCAGGATTGTGTGCCTCCCCGCCATCTCTGCTAGGCCTGGGCGGCCATGACGCCAAGGGAGATCTGGCTTTCCCCGCTCAGGGTGGCCTTTTGCCTGCTGGGCATGGGTGTGCACCTCTACGCGGGGCTTGCTAACTGGCTGCTTCGCCTCCTTTGTGCTGGATGGGGTTACTGCTCTGGGCGGTGGCAGCCTAATGGACCTGCGTAAGCTGCTGGCAGCAGCAGTTGCGCACATGCCCACAGAAATGGCTCTGCGTGCCGCCTGTGGCACGCATGCCATAGGTTTGCCATCACAGCACTAAGCCAATGGAGGGTAACTTGAAAAGGCTTCAAGAGGCTTTCAATAATAATAGTGTAGAGGTGTCCCAAAAGGGGCAGAACCTATTCTTTTTTACCTCTTTTGAAGCAGATGGGGAGATTTTAAGGATGGTAATAGAATAGGGACACCTCTGAAGAAAAACTACCGAAATGGGCCAAAAAATGAAAAGAAAAGAAAACATGCCAACGAATTTTTCAGATACCCCAACTGGACACTTGTTCCTATACTTATTTAAGAAAAGGAAAGAAAGGAAAAAGATGAATCTGAAGTAGAACCATTTTGCTACTAGATTTCCACAATACTATTTTATGGTAATAGGGAACACAAATGGGGGCTAGTAGACACATATACTCTCTCAAACGACATTATAGCTGAGTATAATCTGTGAACCCTTTTTTGTATTGCCTGCTTTCTCACAACATACACTAACATAGGATGGATAGTTATCATGTAGTGCATATTTCAAAGTTTGGGGAGTTTTTTAGAATAGGAATGTAATAGAAGAATCCTCTGAGTTAGTTAAGAAGATTATTTTATTAGGTTAGAGAGAAAGTGAGGAGAAGATGAAGAAGAACAAAGATAGCAGGAGAACACAGATTTTGATGAAATCAGTTTTGAGGATTGAATCAGTTTGAACTAGTTGGTGTGGGGAAAATATTGAACACAGAAATTACTTTAAAAATGGAATGAGTCCATGGGAACGATCTCTAATAAGATGCAGCATGGCACAATATATAGGTCCAGACTGCTGGAAACTGCTAGCAAAATGATAGGAAAGTGTTCTTTTCTCTCTTCAGTATATTGAACGCACAATCTTATACTTAGTTGTCAACATTAGTGGCTAAGTTCACCTACTATGCTAGGCAAACCCAAATAAATAAAATGATCACTTACTGTGACACCTGATCCAGGCCAAGAAGCTGCTGAGGACTGAGTCACAAGCCTATGATTCATTGCATTTTGCTGTACCTTAGGAATAATAGTGCATCTTAGGCACTCTGCTTAAAGCACATTAAATGAGTTATTGATTCAAGCAAATATAATGGCTCTCCTCACCAGTCATGCAGCCATTTGGCCAGACTTACTTTCATTAGGGTGCCATAAATTATAAAACAAATCAATATACATGCAATAAATAGTATTACAAAATTAGATGAGGTGAATAGGATTGCTAAATTGTGCTAATATGATGGTATTATAAGGGAGAAGGAACACTGCTAGCCTAAATAAAAAGTGCCTTTTAAATCAAAACTTTAATGCTGTTCAACAGTAATAATTTTTGTTTGCTTTCAGTCCCTCTCTAAATTACACACAGAAGCTCTACTTGATAATAATTCTAAATCTTCTAAGATACCACACATACATAATGCTGGGTTCCTAAAGGCAAAACTGACAACCATGGTCCTCCATCCTTTCTCTATGCAGCCTTAGTTTCACAGCAAAAAAAAAAAACATGGAAATGAATATGGTCTGATAATAATTTCTTATGTAGTGGCTTTAATGATGTTGCCTTTGTTTTATCCCCATTTTAAAGATATTTTTAGTTTTTTCAGGTTATTTGTTTTTGTTTTGCTCTTCTCGATATGGTTATGCCATGGACACAATTTAGGATGTTTAATAAAGAATGAGGTTGCTGGAGTGGTCATGGGAGGAATCTGCCCAATTTCTATTAACTATTTTAGGGTATTAGCACTCATTCTTTCATTCTACTCACTGAAAACATCCCTTTACAATTGTTTGGGCTTAGACTACAGCAAACACCTGGCTTCATACAGAGGTCATGCAGATCTGTCCATATACATGCCTAACCAGAGTTTCCTAAAGGTTTCTTATAAGCAGAAATTTAGCACACTTTGAAAGAATGCTAGGCTTATTTTTTAAATCCAGTTTCAGTATTTTTAAGAAGTCAATAGATGATGTAGATAAGGAGGATAAAAATCCTATAATTGGAGCACTGAGACAGTGAATGCCACCATTGGTAATATTAGGAGCTTTATTGTTAATTATGCTTTTTCTATAAGCTGCATAGATTCCTATTGATTTAAGCAACATAAACAAAACTTGTAATAAACCACAAACTATAGTAGGGAAAACAAGAGTCCTGGTGGCGCAGTGGTTAGAATGCAGCATTGCAAGCTAACTCTGCCCACAGTCTAGAGTTCAATCCTGATGGGGCTCATGTTGATTCAACCTTCCATTCTTCCATGGTCAGTAAAATGGGGACCCAGATTGTTGGGGGGGGGGGGGAAATGCTGACCTTGTAAATTGCCCAGAGAGTGCTGTAAAGAACTGTGGGGGAGGGGATATATAATCTAAGTGCTATTGCTATTATGTGCTGATATTACTGTAGAAGTCACCTTGAGAGGGGCAGCAGATATATCAGTTTTACAAATTGGCAAGTGATTGGGAAGGGAATCTTGTGTGTTACTGCTGAGATACATGAGTTTGTACCTTAGCACTGCTTCTGATCATTAGAAATCTAGATAATTCCACAAATCCAAACCTTTTTAAAGAAACAAAGTGGGTTTTTAAAGTTACAGTGTTAGCATGTTAAGCTCCATAGCCTTGTATAAGATAGTTTTGGTTGAGGATCTTTCTTTTAACAATTTAAAATGGTATGTCAGCATGAATCCTAATTTGCCAAACAGGAGGTACAGTACAGGAAGAATGGAAGTTTACTTTCTACACTTAAAAGGGGTGTTTACTCACAAGGGACAAAAATGCATTTTTCTATTTGTACAACAGTAAAACAGGTTCCTTTTCCTTTTGGAGGAATCTAAATAGTTTTATATTTCTATTTATTTGTAATTAACATTTTTGTTGACAGCCTGCTTATCTTATTTCAGATCAGATAAAACTCTGCAGGATATAGTATATAAACTGGTGCCAGGACTCTTCAAAGGTATGAATTTGTGACTGCTGAGAGTTTAGAGAATAGAATTTGGGACAGAGCTTCCTAGCTTCCTAGCTGATAGCAAAATGCAGCAATCTTAATTTGATTTTGATTTTGCATGATTTTTAACTTGAGGCTGATAAATAATAGTACATAATTATTAAGAAAAGTATTTTGAAAAATATCTTAGGACTTAATGCAAACTGGATTGAAATTATTTTTTATAATTTACAATTGCATAATTGTTTCTGAATAATAATAAATGTATTTGCAAAATGGAAGAGAAGGAAGCCACTAAATGTATTAATCTTGCTTTTATTTGCAGATGAAATGAAGAGACGACGTGATTTTTATGCAGCATATCCTCTGGCAGATGGTATGATATCTGCCTCATTTGTCTTCTGTTGTATGTAAACAGTAATATTCATTTTAAAAAACAGGTGATTTTTCATTCCCTTTCTTTACTTGTTTAGTTCCCAATGGATCCAATGAAGACAGGGGTGAAGTTTCAGAACAGGATAAAGGGAATCTCACAGATGATGAAACTGTCAGCTTATCCATAGAATTCTATGAAGGAATCAGGTAACCCTTTAGGGAATATAAAAGTAATGATATTTTGCTGATATATCTTCTGATAGATCATTATAGCTTTAATATTTTTATCTCTTTCTCTTACTTTCTCTTCCATATCATTTAACTGCCCAAATCATTTTGGGTACAGGTAGTCCTCAGTTTCTGACTATTCATTTAACAATGGTTGGAAGTTATGATGGCCTCAGAAAAAATGACTTTCAACCTTCCTCAGAGTTATGACTGTTGCACCACCCTTGTGGTCAAAATTGCAATTCGGAATTTGGCAAACAGCTCACATTTACAATGGTTAAAGCAGTGATGGGATTCAGCTGGTTTGCACCAATTTGGCAGAACCAATACCTACTTTTTTCTTGAGTTCGGGGAACCGGCTCTGAAATGGCCAGATTAGTGTGTACTCATGTGTCTCCAGTCCCTTGCTTGCTACAATCTGGCTCCCCCCCCCCACTCCTAGATTTTTGCTGCCAGACTGTTTAACTTTCTTTAAAGTTTACTTGATGCAGAATGTAGATCCTTCCCATTCTGCATCAAGTAAACTTTAAAGAAAATTAAACAGTCTGGCAGTGAAAATCCAGCACAGGGGGGGAAAAAACTCTGGTTTTTTGAGACACCAGACTAATGTGCATTCATGGGCCTCCAATCCCCTTGCTTGCTGCAAAGCCAGATTGGAGTCGTCTGGTCTCTCTTTCCAGCCCATTTTGGACCCGGTCCAAAAGCAAAGGGAGTGGTTCCCACTCCATCCAATCGCTGCTTGGCTTTGTTTCCAAAGACACTCTGCGCAGGCTCCAGACAAAACCCCGGAACTGAAAAAGAAGCAACGGGAGCGAAGGGCAGTTTAAAGGCAGAGGAAGAAGGAGAAAGTGGGAGAAGTCACTATTGAACACATGAGGTGTGATAGGTGTCGGGATGTGGTAGGCCTGGCTGCAGGGGCCCTTTGGTACGGTAAGTGGTTGTGGGATACATGGGGCAGCTCTCCCTCCCCCACTTGCCTCGTGGCAGCGGTCCCCCCCGCCTCCCCCTCTGTGCCCTCCCTGCAGAGAACCAGTTGTTAAATTATTTGAATCCCACCACTGGGTTAAAGAATGTTGTGGTCGTGTGATCACGATTTGTGATTTTCCCAGCCAGCTTCTGACAAGTAAAGTCAGTTGAGGAAGCCAGATTTGCTTAACAGTTATGTGATTTGTTTAATGATCATGTGATTTGCTTAACAATCTTGGTAAAAATAGTTGTAAAATCAGGTCTGGTCTCATAATGATTCACTTAATGACCATACTGCTTAACAACTGAAATTCCAAACTCAATTGTGATCATATGTTGGGGACTATCTGTATATCATCTTTATCCGTATTCATCTCAGAATGAGATACATATGTATAAGTTAGAACTAAACAAAAGCAGACCCAAAGGAAAGAATTAATTTATATACTGAATTCTTACTTTTGTTGAAAATTTCCACAAATTGTTATAAAGAATTAGTTTAACAAAAAAGGAAGTGCCAAAGGAACAGGATCATTCATTTCCCTTTATATTTTTCATATCTTTCTTCCTATTTATTTATTTATTTATGAGACTTATATACCGCTTTAAGTGCAAGGACTCTCTAAGCGGTGTACACCAGTAAGCAATGTATATATATATATATTTTACATTGCCCCCAACAATCTGGGTCCTCATTTTACCTACCTCGGAAGGATGGAAGGCTGAGTCAACCTTGAGCCGGTGAGATTTGAACCGCTGACCTGCTGAACACAGTCATGGGCATAGTAGGTGTAGGAAGGGAAGAAGGTAGCTACTCTTTAGGTAGTAATGTTAACCTTGCTAATTTCCCCACTCCTCCTGCTGAGAGATCCCCTAGATTTATACTTCTGAACACACTTCTGTTTAATGACCAGCTAAGCAGAATCTTAAACAAATTGAATGGTTTTCTGCAAGCACATCTTCTGTACCCAATCAGGAATCCCAGCCTGAAATCAGGCCTCAGTATGGCTAACCATTAGACCAAACTTGCTTTGTTATACTGCAATATAACATTTTTAATAAATATTAACAATTATAAAATGTTATATTTTATAACATTTTTAAACATAAATAGCACACAAAAATGTAAAGCTGAAATCTTTTTGAAATTGGAGTCAACTCCTGGTAATTTCATGAATACATCATGTCATTTTCTTGACAGCAATATAAAAATAGTTTGCCATGATTTTGTTTCTTCTAGATTTCAGTTTTCAAGATGAGCTATGATCAGTTAAATGCTCCAGCTAGCTGAGCCAAATTCATACGCACATCCACAAATCTGCCCCTCCATTAGAAATTTGGGGAAAGGCAGGCTTGAAGAATGTATGCTGCACGTTCCCTTTCCATTCCAAAATTTCTAATGATAAGACAGAAATGTCACAATCTAAATAATTTTTAAAGGGGGTGGGAGCAAATGGAGCACCAGCAAAATGCTTTGGATATAGTACGCTTGAATGTTAGTAAGGCATTTGACAAAGTAGAGTACAATCTACTTTTTGGTAAAATAGAAAAAAGCGGGATAGATAGCATTACTACCAGATGAATTTGTAACTGGCTGACAAACTATGCTCAATGTGTAGTCCTTAATGGAATTAAGGATGCAGTGAGATATCCTAAATTCTGTCTTAGCCCATTACTCTTCAGCAATTTCATAAAGATTTAGATGAGGGGATAGAAGGGGAACTCATAAAATCTGCAAATCAAATCTGGCAGGAATAACCAACACCCTAGAAGATAGGCTCAAGTTCCAGATGGATCTCGACAGACTTTAACACTGGGCCCTATCTAATAAAATGAAATTCAATAGAGAAAAAGGGAAAGTTTTACACTTAGGCAAGAAAAACCAAATGTATAGGTACAGATTAAGTGAAACTTGGCTCAGTAGCAGAAATTGCAAGAGGGTTCTTGGAGACCTAGTAGACGATCACTTAAATATAAGCCAGCGGTGTGTGGCAGCCACCAAAAAAGCCAATTCAATCGTAGGCTGCATTATCAGAGAGATAGAATCAAGATATGTTGTGTTAATACCCTTTTATAAGACCTTGGTAAGACCACACTTGGAATAATACTGCATTCAGTTTTGGTCTCCATATTGTAATATATATATATATATATATATATATATATATATATATATATATATATATATATATATATATATATATATATATATTCAGATTCTGGAAAGAGTGCAGAGAAGAGCAACAAAGATGAGTAGGAAGCTGCATTAACTTTCTTCTGCCTTAACCATTTGGTTGTATGTTTTATGTGCTTTGAGTTGTTGTCTTGCTACATGATCCACTTTCTTTTGAGCTCATGGACAGATACCTTGATGTTTTCCTGTAGGATGCTTCTATAATTCAGAATTCATAGTTCTAGCAGTGAGGGCAAGCCATCTTTGTCAGCAAAGCAGGTCCAAACCAGGATGTCACTGTTTCATAGATGGAATAAGATTTATTTGCCAACCTTTTGCCAAAAGGTTCAATTTTGCTCTCATCTGTCTACAGCACATTCTTCCAATGGTCTAGCTGATCTATGTAATCCTTTGCAAACTAACTGAGCAACTATTCTTTTTGGAGAGTAGTGGCTTTCTTCTTTCAAGCCTGCCATGTATACCATTGTTGTTCAGTGTTCTCCTGATGGTTGTCTTATCAACACTGACATTCACAAACGGGGTAGAGGTCTTTGGTTCCATAGATGTTACTTTGGGATTCTCTGAGATCTTCTGGGCCATTACATACTTTGCTCTTGATGTGATCTTGGCTAGTCAACAACTCCTAGAGAGGGTAAGAATGGCATTGAATCACTTCCATTTGTACACAATCTGCCTATTTCCTTGGAAATAGATTGGAATCTTTTTCAGGTGGGTGAGGTCAAAGGTCCTCAAAAATATCCTTTGTTCAAGCTATGACATACTTCTGTTGCAAAGAAAGCAAAAATCCAAAATTCTGTTCTTTAAATAAGGCAAGATTTCACACACTGACATCTGATTATCATCTTATGACCGAAACAACTCATTCTAATTACCCCTTCAAATGAACTGATAATCCTAGAGATTCACATAGTTTTGCCATACATAGATATGTAGTTTTGGATTATTTTCTTTAGTAAATAAATGAACAAATGTAATGTTTTCATTTTTGACTCATTTGTTTATTTGGATTCTCTTAATCTATTTTAGGACCTGCATGAATAACAGATCATGTTTTAAGTCATACTTATTCAGAAATGTTGAAAATTCAAAAAGTTCTTGGCCTCTTCCTAATTCTTATTATGTCTATCTATTCCCTATCTTCAGTTTGCACTGAGAATTGGCTAATTTATATCCTTTCAAATTAATTTAACAGAACATTTCACAGCTTCTCTCTTAGACTACAATCTGGCAGTTAGTGATTTGTACATGTATATATTTGGCTGGCTCTTAATGAAAACAGAAATACTAACTAGGGTGAAAGGACAATACTGATGGTAGGGCCATCAATAGCACATGTTCCATTGCTTCCTCTTTTTAAGGATGGTTTCTTGCAAAGTCTTATACCATTAACGCTAAAGGAAGATATTTTCCTGCATAAGCCAGAATAGCAAATAGTGATTCCATCCAAATCAAGATACTTACTATTTAATACTGATAGCTAATACTGGTCTAACACAATTGCCTGGAAGTAAAAATGTGTTGTCATTGTCATCATCATCATTATCATCATCATCCTCCTATATTCAGCCCTGGGCAGCATGCAAACTAAATTCCTCCAAATAGTTATTTTATTCTGCCTAATAGTACTTTATTATAGGGAAGTTTTTTTATATACCATTAGAAAAAAATTGTGTACTCTGTAACCTATATAGCTAAAATGCATGCAGAAATAATCATATTTGCTGATTCTGGGTGGCCTGGTATATTTCATGTAGGGATAACTAGCTATCCCTCTATCGCAACATGGCACCTTGGTACTTATTGTTAATTGATTCCAGGAGGCATGATGAGTACCAAAAACAATGAGTTCCAAACAATTTTTTCCCATAAGGAATAATATAATGAGTCACAAGGCAACCAATACTGACAAGCTCTAGCTTGTGTGTTGAATACCAAACAAACAATGAGTACTGGAACAAAATTTTACATCAAAATGTGTTGAGTACCAAATTTGATGAGTTTCAAAGCAGTTGATTACCAAAGTACCACTGTATCTGTATTTGTATACATTTAACTCATTAGTCTTCTTAATTCTTCAGAGATGAAAATAAAGGGACTGTTGAAAATGGAAACATAGAAAAAGATAAGGTGAGTTACATCATGGTGTGGATTCTGTATTAAATTTAAACAGCTACATGTTCTAAGGTGATTTTAATAGGCAAGAAATATATACATTTTCTCTAATTCCATTCATTGTTCATATGTTATGACAGCAATCATTCTTAATTTGGTGGACTTGTCTAAAACCTCTAAACTGGATTCCTTCTTCTTTAGCATAGTGATTCTTTTATGCAGGGCTTTTTTTGTCCTAGAACGCCCAGAACGGAGTTCCGGCACCTTTTTTGGATGGAACCTTGTAGGGTAGGCAAGTTCGGTTGTATGACGTGTGTGAGTTCCGGCACTTTTTTTTTTTTTTTTAAGGAAAAAAAGCACTGCTTTTATGTAAAGGTTCAAGCAGCTATCCTCTGACTACAAAAGGCTCTTTTTCTTAATATTACTAAAGGCAACCATATCTCATCTGCAAAAAAGTTGACAACCTCTATAACAGCAAACAGCTAGAGCTTCCTATGTATATTTGTTATCGTCTAGTGACATTTTGCACTCTCAGATTGGGTAGTCTTAATATTTTATTATTTGGAAACAAGTTGTAGGATATGGATTAATTTGGAGAAAACTCTAATATTTATATGAAATCTAAGTTTAAATCATATTATTAAAAAGCATCCTGAACTTGGGCTTAAGTGAGCTCCTAGTTATACAAATGTCAGCATTTTTTGCTTTTGTTTCCGCTATTTTCTTTTCCATCAATATGACTTCTGTATTTTCTTTCTTTGTCTGTTTTGTTTCTTTATATTTTGCTTTTCCCTTTCCCTTCCCCTCCCCTCCACTTCCCTCTTTTACAGTCTATCTATCTATCTATCTATCTATCTATCTATCTATCTATCTATCTATCTATCTATCTATCTCTGTCTCCTTCTTCCAAACTCAGCTTGATTTTTTTCCCCTTTTGTTGTACACCACAAAGACATGCAAATTACATCTGGTTGCTTTTGCCTGTGATCTGAGAACTTCTTGCACTCCTCCCCCCAACCTTCACCCCTTAATTTCCTAGCCCTTAGGCAGATTTACAGTGACTTCCATATCTATTTCAACTTCAATCTCCTGCTGTGCAGTCCAGCCCTCTCCAATTAAAACCATCTCTCTCCTCTCTCACATTCCTCTGTAGAAGAACAGCATGAGATTCCTCCGATGTCCTGCTGCTATGACTATCATGCACCTGGCTAAGTTCCTCCGGAACAAGATGGATGTTCCCACCAAATACAAAGTAAGTTTCAGGCAAGCAGCCACCATTCTCCTGACCCAAGGCCTGAAGTTGCTACTGATTTTTTGTATATTTATAATTCTCCATAGCCAAGGTTAAAAAAAAAAATCTGCAGCTCCTCTTACTAGCTTCTCCAAAAAAGAGTTGGCTAAACTCAAAAATCAATATGCAAGAGTTGTATTTTGTATGTTCTCTGTCTCTCCCTTCACCCAAACCAAGAAGGCAGAATGGAATTTGTTATTTTAAGGATTTAACAAAAACATCCCATTCACTCTAAAACAGTCACTGACTGTTTTCTATTATAAACTAAGCTTATTGTCTGGATTATTGTGGTATAGACAAGATATGTATATGCATTTTTTTTCAAACTCAACCTATATTTATTTCTTTAGAACTGCCATATGAAATTAGGCTGATAATTATATGTGGCTTACAGATTTCATCTTTATAGCTTGACGAGGAGAGGGGAGGGAGGGGAAGGGGAGGAGAGACTTAAGCCCAAGTTCAGAATGCTTTTTAATAATATGATTTAAACTTAGGTTTCATATAAATATTAGAGAAATGCAGGTTACTGGATTGGACTTCTTGGGAAGACATGGTAGACTGAAGGTAGCTTTTCAAAAAGTGGAGACAGTTGCAGTAGAATGAAGAGTTGGCAAGCAGCCTACCTCTTTATTAATTCTTAGTCAAGGAAAGGATTTGAGATCACCCACAAGTGTTCCAGAAAGCTGCTTCTCATGAGGAGATCTCAAGACAGCAGTCTTTAGTGTGTTTAGAGCTCTGGGAGACAAGAGAATAGCTATTTTAAAAGGCCACTGGGTTTGCATAGGTCTTTTTCTAATCACTTTCAGAAACTGCTTGCTAACTGATTTTCAGCCATTATGAACCTTTGGAATGATAAGGTTTAATAACAGCAGATGAGTTTCTTCCAATCCTTAGCAAAAAAAGTTTCAAATATAAATTAAGGGGGGATTTTTTTGTAATAAATAGGAAAAGAAACATACTAAGGGTCCAGTTAAATCTGAACTAAGATTTTGAAATTAATTATAGAGAGACAATGTTTTGTTTTGAATGCTTAAAAAAAATAATACTAAGACTTTAAAAATTGGACACCAGAGGATACTAGGAGGAACTAAAACATTAAAGAAGAACATCACTCAAACTCAATTTATTAATACAGAATTAAGCAAAATATTTTTTATAAGTTTTTATTGTGTTGAGTCCTCAGCTTAATGGCGAATAATCACAGAGCATGTCGTAGTGTCAAGAAGTCTTTATTGTTGTTTCTTCAGCTCCATTACAGCTCTGAGGCACGCAGGCCTCTCTGCCTCTTTTAAGAACGCTTCTCCAGACCAAATGGCAACATTTGGCGTGCTTCACGCCTTGCGCATGGGCGTGAAGCTGGCGCCAGCCAGTCTGGTCCCCGGCAGCTTGCAACTGCCTGGGACCGTTGCAACGTCCCGAGCCTGCCTTTGCAGGCTCAGGACACAACACCCCTTCCCCCCCGGCTAAGACTAATAAACTATATGAATAGTTACACGCGACCTCAACACGAGCGTGGTGTGCCAACCCATGCTTCTAAATGGTACCGGGCTATTATTCTGGGGATTAATACCCAATGCCCATATTTCCATTGTTCCCAACAACAGACACCCTCTCACTGTTTCTGCTTTGCCAGCAGAGTTACAAAGTCTTCAAGGTACTTAGGAGATCTGTTGACTCTCTGTGATCTCCTTATATCCTGATAATCCCCAATTTCATTTTGCCCAGAGGATGACATGAAGTTGCCCCCTTTTACAGACCCTGGTGGTTCCCATGGACCGTGCCCCGTTGCCTGGTCTGCTTGCTTGCCCACCGGGCTCGTCAGACCAGGACTTTGTTCTCCCAATAACCTGGTTGACCTGCCTAGTTGCAGGCTCTCTGGCCCCTCTATAAAACTGCCACTGTTAGGCAACTCTGTACGGCCTCCCAGGCCCACACTGGACCTATCAAGGGGCTGCATTCCTTCGTTTCCCAGTCCCATGATGGGACTGTCTGGGGTTTCAGTATTTCCCCAAAACTCAGTTGCTCCTCCATCTGTGCCGGAGGTGTCAGAATTGGGATTTGCCTCTCTGACCACCTCCCTGTGTGAATGCCTCCTTTTGGAAACAGCAGTAGTACTGGGCCAACTAGACTATTTATGTGCCAGCTCTCTTGCAATGTTTGAGTTATTAGGATGCTTCCAGTTATTCTCCCTGACTGGAGTACTAAATGGTATTTGTGAATGATGAGTATGCCTCCTGGGTGACTCCCTGGCTGGAGTAGGCACTGGTGCCTGTGTGCTTCCTAGTTCCCATGAATTCCTGCTCGGAACACTTGCGGAATCTTGGAATAGGCCGTCTGTGGCCTCTCTGTTTGGGTCCGGCTGCTGCCAACACCCATCCCTTTGCCCATAAAGGTCACCCTCCCCCCCTGGAAAGGACCCAGGAGTTTCAGAGGGTAAGTCCAGTCTTGTACGCAGCTGATTGATATACCGCCGAAGGATACGACCGTCATCCAACGAGACCTCGTATGACAAAGGACCAGTAACCTTGCATACTACAGCAGGAACCCACAAGTGACCTGGCCTGTAATTACGGGTCCATACCGGGGCACCCACTTGCAGATACCTCGGTGCCCTGGGTTGTGTAGCCTTAGGAGGCAGTCTGTCCAGATGCAACCGGTCAAGTTTAGTAATCAGTTTGCACCCCCAACGAAGTTCAGCTGGGCTTTTCCCAGTAGAAGTTGAAGGTGTGATGCGGTACGCAAGAAGAAAGTCTGCCAACCTGTGGTGCCAGTCCCCATAGGTCAGTTTCTTTAAAGCATCCTTGCTGATGTGGACCATCTGTTCAGCCATACTGTTGGTGGAAGGGTGGAAAGGTGCAGAGGTGGCATGACGAATCATGTTGGCCTGTAAGAAAGCTTGGAATTCGGAAGAGGTGAATTGAGGGCCATTGTCAGACACCAAAACATCCGGAAGCCCATGTGCAGCAAAAATCCCCCTCAATACTTGAATGGTCTTGGCAGCGGTGGTTGAAGAGACAGGTATAACCTCAAGCCACTTTGAATAGCTATCAACAATGACCAAGAAGAATTGACCCTGAAAGGGCCCAGCGTAATCAATGTGCACCCTGGACCAAGGTGACTGCGTGTCCTCCCATCTATGTACAGGAGCCTGGGGCATTTCTGGGCATGAGCGCTGACAAAGGTGGCATGTATGCACCTTAGCCTCAATTTCCTTGTCTAACCCAGGCCACCACAAATGGCTGCGCACAAGCGCCTTCATTCTTACAATGCCAGGATGACCCTCGTGAAAGGAACCTAAGACTCTAGACCTCATTGAGGTAGGAATAACAACTCTGCTGCCCCACAGCAGACAACTCTGAAAAGTGGATAACTCATGTCTCTTAAGCCAGAAGCTCTGAAACTCAGTACCTGGACAACTCTCTGGCCATCCAGACAAAACCCAGGATAAGACACGAGAGAGTGTGAGATCTGTGGCTGATTCAGCAGCCACATCCCTGGCATTTAAAGGTGACTCAGGCAACACCTGAATGGAAAGGATGTTGATGGCAGGGGCAGGATCAGCCTCCACTACCTGTAAGGGTAATCTACTGAGGCCATCAGCATGGCCCATTTCTTTGCCAGGTTTGTGAACTAAGGAAAAGTCATAGGCTGACAGGAAGATGGACCATCTCAGCATCCTAGGGGAGATGATATGGGGGGTTTGTTTGTTTGTGGTAAACAACCCCAACAAAGGCTTATGGTCAGTGTAGACTGTGAAATGCCTGCCATATAAAAAATCATGGAATTTTTTAATTCCAGCAACAACAGCTAAGGCCTCCCTGTCTATCTGGGCGTAGTTTCGCTCAGCAGAAGACAAGGTTCTGGAGTAATACGCAACAGGAACCTGAGTTCCATCAGGTCTAAGGTGGCTAAGTACTGCTCCCACCCCATAAGGGGAGGCATCACAAGCGATGCACACAGGAAGAATTTCATTAAAATGTGCAAGCACATTATTGGATGTGAGTAAGGCCTTAACCTCATTGAAGGTTTCTTCATGTGCTTGTGACCACTGCTACACTGCCTGTTTATCCAGAAGCCTATGAAGTGGTTCAGCTACATTAGCTTTGTTAGGAATGAAAGCATTATAGAAATTCAAGAGGCCCAGAAAGGCTTGTAGTTCAGCTTTGGACTTAGACCTAGGAGCTTGCATAATAGCCTTTAATTTAGAATCAGCAGGATGAATACCACTGGCATCAATTTTGAATCCCAGAAAATCTGTAGAAGGCACCCCAATTTTACATTTGTCTTTTTTAAGTTTGAGGCCTGTTTTCCGGAACCGCAGCAGGACAGCCCTCAACCTCTCAGCTAAGTTTTGAGTGGAATCTCCAGCAATTAAGACATCATCAAAGTGGGGGCAAACCCCTGGTATACCCCTCAAGGTATTGTCCATTACGCTTTGGAAAATTCCAGGAGCCACATTTACTCCAAATTGTAGTCTTTTGACTTTAAATGCCCCCCTGTGTGTTACAATGGTTTGTGCTACAGCAGCAGCTTCATCAACAGGTAACTGTTGATAAGCCTGTGCTAAATCTAGCTTAGCAAAAACACGCCCCCCCTTGAGGGAAACCAGAATATGGCTGACTACAGGTACAGGATATGCATATTGTTGCAATGCCTTGTTTAGAGTGCATTTGTAATCTGCACAGATGCGAATGTCCCCATTAGCCTTAAGAGGCGTGACTATGGGAGTTTCCCAAGGACTTGAGTCAACAGGTTCTAAGACTCTTTGCTGAATCAATTTGTCCAATTCAGCATCAATTTTTCCTTTTAAAGCAAAAGGTACTCTCCTTGCTTTTACTCTGATAGGAGTGACAGTGGGGTCCAACTTTAAGGAAACTGGGGGCCCTTTGTATGTACCCAGCTGCGGGCTGAAGACATCTGCAAATTCTTTGCAGACTTCTTGTAGACCTACTGTTTGCAAACTGTTAAGCCCTGTAACTTGTATTCCCAAGGCCTCAAACCAATCGAGTCCTATGAGACTCGTGAGCTAACCCCCAACTACCAATACATCTAATGGACCTTCAAAATCCTTGTATTGTACATTAAGGGTGGCCTCCCCCTTAACACACACTTTGGAGTTTTGAAAGTCAGTTAGAACTATATTGGATGGCCTAAGCTTGGCCTGGAACCCACTGCTAGAGCAAATCTTTCTGAATGTGTGAATGGAGATAATTGAAAGTGCAGACCCAGTGTCTAGTTCCATAAACAATGGCACTCCTTGCAACTTCACTTTAAGTGACAGTTTCTTTTTGAGTGGCTTGTGTGTGCCTGTTCTATAAATGCTTCTTCGTGAAGCACAGAAACCCACCCTGTTTTGGCTGGGGACCCTGGTACCTTTCAGGCACAATTCTTCTCGGGGTTGTACCTTCTGACGGCCCAGACACACAGCTGCTATGTGGCCTTGCTTGCCACATGCTCTACAGATTGCAGAACGAAACCTGCAGTCGGTCCTCTTGTGGCGACCTCCACACCCGAAGCACTTGGGTACAGCTGAAAACTTTTCTTTGCCTTCCTTCTGCTTCCTTTCTTTGGCTGGGTAGAGATGATCCACCTCGTCTTCAGGATCCTCTTCCGAGCTCTCCTGGACTCCCTCATGGTGCACGGAAACAGCTTCTGGAATGCTTCTGATAGGCCTCATATTCTTGATTGCCCCACCTGCTGCCTCTTCTGCAGTAACCTCTCTCAAGACATCTTGGAACGATATGTCTTCCTTTGCAAAAAGTCTCTGCTGCAAGTCTCTGCTTCTAAGCCCACATACAAATCTGTCTCTTAACCTTTCTTCTAAGTCTTTAAACTCACAAGGCTTAGCTGCTCTTCTCAAAGCTGCAATGTATTCTTTAGCTGATTCACCAGCTCATTGATCCCTCTGTTCAAAAGTATGCCTCCATGCAATAACAGACAACTTGGGCTGAAAATGTTCTTTTAGTAATTTTTTTAAATCTGTGTAGGTTACAGATTCAAGAGGCGCAGGGGCTGCTAAATTTTCAGCAATTTCAAATGCATCTTGACCACAAACACAGAGCAAAGTAGCGGCCTTTAAGCCATCTTCTTTTACTTGGTTTACTTTCAAGTAGTTTTCTACTCTGGCCACATATGACTCCCATCTTTCTGGGTGCATGACATCAAATTCAGAGAGCCTTCCTATCTTCGCCATTCTTCTCTTTTGTAAGGAAAGAGTCTATCAGCCAGCTTACCTCGAACGACGCTGTATTGGCAGGCAGGTACTGAATTTAACACCGTCTTCCTAGATGCTCTCAGGACTCCTGGGTAAGCTTACAATTCTCTTTAATTGATTGTAAGGCATCCCACCTTCATCGCCAGTGTTGAGTCCTCAGCTTAACGGCGAATAATCACAGAGCATCTCGTAGTGTCAAGAAGCCTTTATTGTTGTTTCTTCAGCTCCGTTACAGCTCTGAGGCAAGCAAGGCCTCTCTGCCTCTTTTAAGAACGCTTCCCCGGACCGAATGGCAACATTTGGTGCGCTCTGCGCCTCGCGCATGCGCGTGAAGCCGGCGTCAGCCAGTCTGGTCCCAGGCAGCTTGCAACTGCCCGGGACTGTTGCAACGTCCCGAGCCTGCCTTTGCAGGCTCAGGACACAACAATTGAGTACAAAGAAAAAAAAAGGATTAAAAACATTGAACATGGTAAATTGTCTTTGACTGACATCTCAGTCCATATTGTACATTAATTACATATAATATATCTATATACAACTATACATTTCTGGTCTCTATCTTAACTTATCTCTTTACTGTGACCTCCATTTTTTTTCCCTCCATCTATAAAATTTATTCCATATTCGATAAAATTCTGTTTCTTCCTGATTTTTTAATCTTTTAGTTATCCTGTCTAGTTCTGCGCAATTCATAATTTTCTTTATTAGTATTTCCCCACTCGGTACTTCCATTGCTTTCCACTTTTGAGCAAATAGTATCCTTGCCACCATAACCACGTGAATAATTAAATATGTGTCCTCTTTATTTACATTTTTCTCTAGTATTCCTAATAATGTCTCAGGTTTGTATTGAATGTTTTGCCTAGTCATTTCTATTGCCCATTCCCAGACCATACGCCAATATGTCCACCATACATGAAAAAAGGTGCCCTTTTCTTTTTTATATTTTCAACACATAGATGAATATCCGTTATACATTTTGACTAATCTGGCTGGAGGGAGATGCCATCTGTAAACCATCTTATACAGGTTTTCTTTATATGATGTCGCCAATGTGATTTTGTTATTTCGCTCCCATACTTGCTGCCATTGATCCATATTTATATTATATCCTAGATCTATTGCCCATGTCACCATTTTCTTTAACCTGCTCCTCATATAGTTTATGTTCCAACAGGTGTTTATAAATATTCTTTATTTGTTTTTTCTCCAGGCCTAGCAATATTTTATCTAACCTCGTATCTTGTCTGTTAATAACCCATTCTTGCTTATCCTTCATGTATCTTGCTTATATCTGGAGATAAGACCACCACTCCATGCCTATTCCTTGTTGTCTTAGCTCTTGTTTTTGTTTTAAATAACCTTCTTCTGTCAAGATGTCTTTATATATAATAGCCTTGTCTTTCCTATACAGATTGGGATATGTGACTGCCTCCAATGGCGATAGCCAAGCCAGAATCTTTGTGTAATATTGATGTTTAACTATATTTCAGTTTTTTATTAATTCTTGCCGAACCTTATGTCTTAAAAAATATTGGTGGTTTCTGCTTTGCCCCATCCATATGTGAGCATGCCAACCCTACTGGAGGTCATAACCCTCTAAATGTAAACATCTTTTATTTTCTAATGTTATCCAGTCTCTAATCCATGTTAGGGCTGCTGCTTGGTAATATAGCTCCCAATCTGGGAAACCTAAACCTCCCCTCTCTTTGGCATCCTGTAATGCCTTTAATTTTATTCTTGCCTTCTTACCAGACCACACAAATTCTAAGGTTAATTTATTCAGTTCTTTGAAAAATTTCTTGTCTAATTGAATTGGGATATTCTGAAACAGAAATATCATTTTAGGTAGGATGTTCATTTTCACTGCAGCAATTCTCCCGAGTAATGAGAGATGTAAATTTTTCCAGCAGTCTAAATCTACTTTTATATTCTTTACCAATTTGCTATAATTGTCTTCTTTAATTGATGAGCAGCGTGCTGAAATAACTATCCCTAGATATTTTAATTTGGAAACTACTTGTATACCTAATTTTGCCTCGAGGTTTCCTTTTTGCATGTTAGTCATGTTTTTTGTAATAATCTTTGTTTAGCAAAATATTTTAATATTGAACATACTGAAGGATATTTTTGGACAATGAACCTAGAAGTTGATTTACTGAGTGTCTGCCTTTATAGTTGGACTGTGTTTTAAAAATGTTATGGAAGAGGAACAAGTTTTACATTACATTATTGAAAGTGACATGCAGGTGGCTTTCAAAACAACAAGCTACATGAATGACATAGAAAAAGATATTACATTGGAAATACAACAGAAATCAGCTGATTTCTTAATATTTAAAAGAAATATATCAAAGAAATAGCAGCCTGTCAGGTGCATGGAACCCGGAAAACAGAATGAATGAATCAGAATGATACTTGCCTGTTGATAGGAATCAAGCTAAAATAATGCACTCACTATGGAAATTGCTAGATAAGCAGTGCAAGGTTTAGGAAAGATCTGCTTTCTACACTTCCTCTATATCAGCAGTTCAAGGCTAGCCAGATTTTTCATTCCTCCTCTCATTTCAGCTACAGATTTGACTATACAACACAAGAGAGTGACCTGGATAATTTTCCTACACTGGATTTACAAAGGAAGCTTCTTAAAAATTTGAAAAATTTCATGAGATAGGACAAAAAAATGAAAACAAATCAATTTCTAGGACAAATCAAGGGACTAAAATTTAGAAGTCTCAGAATATAGGAAAAGGAAGGAATATAAAGTTGGTTTATTTGATCAAGATTAAAATAGATATTATTCCTGGTAACACTTAATGGATTTTTGCTGACATTAGATCCAAAATAATGAGGTTTTATTTATAGATAAGAGATGGGATATGGGAAGAAGAAATCATGTATTGTATTTTAAGAAAAGATGGTAAGTTAATAAAATTGTTTATATTTGTGAAGAAGGTCGGAAATATAGATTTCTTTTCTTTTTCTTTACTATATTCTTATTTTGTCCTTTTTATTTTTCTTTCTATTGTTTTCCTTTCTGTACCCTTTATTTTTTTATTCTCTCTTTTTAGTTTGTTTTTTATTGTGGTAGTTATAAATTTAAATAAATTTACTACCAAAAAGAGATATCCAGGTTACTTAAATCTGTGCCAAATATTTAAATTTATACCTGTGTCATATAATTCTGCATGTCTTAAACTTCGTTTATTAGGTGGAGGTTCTCTATGAAGATGAACCTCTAAAAGAATATTATACTCTCATGGACATAACTTATATCTATCCTTGGCGAAGGGTGAGTAAGAAAAAAAACCCTTTATATATATTGACTGGTTCGTCAATTACTTTTTTTCAGGACCATTATAATTTTGAACAGTCACTAAATGAATAGTTACAAATCAGGGTCTACTTCTATTGGGAAAGCTTGCCTTCTAGATTTGTTATCTTTCATGGGATGGAATCTAGAACAGGGCCTCTCTGTCTGGACTGGTAGCAAGATCATATTTAATAATATGGTCTCTGGTACATGGTTATTTATAGGATAAATAACTGCCTGAGGACCATACCATTAGGTCAGTATTAAAATATACTGACAAATGTTTTAAGTGTTGTACAGCTGCAGTTTTATGCCTTTTTGGCTTTATAGTTGTTAAAATTATGTCTGATGTTTTACTGTGCTTCTTTGCCATTATTTTCTTTTGGAGAAATAGCAATATGCAAGTTGCTAATTCATCCTGTTTCTTTCCTTCAATAGAATGGCCCTCTCCCATTGAAATATCGTGTCCAACCAGCCTGCAAGAGATTAAAACTGTCTTCTCAGCCTCCCAACTCAGAGTGTACCAACACCAGTGGGGCTTCAGAGTGTGAATCTGTCAGTGACAAAGCTCATAGCCCAGCCACCCTGCCAGCCACCTCCTCCTCATTGCCAAGTCCTGTCACACCTTCCCATGGCTCCCCAAGCTCCAATACCACCACTGTAAGCATTCCAATCAACCCTGCATCTGGTGCCATGCTAAATGGCACCTCGAACTGCCACCAGATGCAACCTTTGGCCAGTAGGGGGCGCAAAACAATGGTCAATGGTAGTCCAGTCATGTCAGCCTTGACTTAAAAGGAGCATTATTTTTATTGGATCCTGAGTTTTATATATATTATGTATAAATAAGGGCAGTGGTGGATGGGATGTGGAAATTATACATACTTATTTTCTATGAACTGATCTGATTTAATTTAAGAAAAATGCAAAAAGTAAGAAAAAAAATCCAAATCCACATTTTTTAATTTTTGAAAAGCAAAATTGTGTTCTTGTAACTGCATGGTGGTGGTATTTGTATAAAAACTGCAGCTCTTTCTGGATGATAATGATTTTTTTATTATTATTATTTATGTCCTTGATTTGTAGTGAGATTTGATGCACAGCCTAGAGAGAAAAATGCACAGACCCAAATCAACCAGGCTCTTATTGAAGCACATATGGCTTTCCTGGCTCGTTTTGTCAGATGACTGTAGCTTACATCCTCCCCCACCCACCCCCATTCCATTTTAAGCATCTCCATTTCAATTATATAGCTTTTAGTCCTTTATATTTACCCCTCTCTCTTAAGGATCTTCGTTCCAACACTTGTCAAACCAAGCTGCTGTTAAACAGGGGGTAGTAATAGACATTTTTGTGCATGGAAAAGGGCAACAGTGGGTAATTCTTCATGATGTTATGAGTGCTAACCATCGTAGCTATGTACAGTATCCAGAACAATAACATGCCTGGGGAAAAAGAGTTAACAGTGCCTTTGACTGGCATAACATCACTGCCCTTTGGGTGGAGCAGTTTACATCATTAACCACAGACCTTGGCCCCTTGTGCTATAAAGCTTAGTTGTTGGAAAAATACATCTTGAAGCTTCACCTTTTATTTATATGCCCTTTCTTACACATGTTCATGATGTCTCTGTTTTCAGACAATATCTTTGCTCTGGTTTTAAATCTCTTCAGTCATATATTTCCCTACCAAAGATTGTGGGGATAGTTTGTACACTAGCAGTTCTTTATCAGAGATCTCTTGGTTGTTTGCAGACATTGGTTCCCAGGACCTGGCCAGAAATGGGCTAGGGACCCCTTCAGCTACTTGCATGTGATTTTCCTAAGCAGATTTGGATGACTAATGTAGTAGGCAGATGATTCATCTATACAACTCTTTGACCCTTTTAGAAAAGCAGCTTTACAATCCTTATAATTTTTGCTCTAAGAACTATAATGCTTGATAGTTTGTAATGTGGTAGAATTACAGTATTAATTTCCACAATTTGAACTCATGAAATTCCTGCTGCAATTCTCAGCGTTCAGTTTATATTATAGATATTTCTCAAATTCTGTGGTCCTGTGACTATCTAAAATAATTAATTCATGAGATTTTTTCCTCCTACACAATTCAGGTAGTCCTCAACCTACAACTACAATTGAGCCCAAAATTTCTATTGCTAAGCAAGACAGTTAAGTGAGTTTTGCCCCATTTTATGATCTTTCTTGCTACAGTTAAGCGAATCACTGCAGTTTTAAGTTAGTAGCATGGCTGTTAAGTTGTTTTTATCAGTAGCTACATAGAGTTGCATTCTCTTCCTGGCTTGAAGGAGGCTCCCGATCCTGCCTGTCTTCTCATCAGCCATGCACTCTGCATGATGTAATTTCTCCCCTCCTGTTTTCCCTAGGGATTGAAGCTCTGCATTCCCAGCTTTCCTACTATTCTACCTTTTGGCAATCCAGAAATGTGCGACACTCCCCCCCTCCCCCCCCGCCCTCACTCTAATCCATTTATAAGCCGCTTGATAGCCACAGTTTTAGAATCCTTGATTCAGCAAGCAGATTCTGTTTGGGGAAAGCCAGAATTACCTTATTCCAAGCACTTGGAATGATAAATATTTTTGTAGCCGTTATAGAGACCCATTCCGCATCTTTTTTTAAAAAAAAAAAATGTTTGTTTAATCTTGTAAATTTGGGTTAAAAAATAAATACAGTGCCTTTGCAAAACAAATTTTATTAATGTGCTGAGGTGGTAGAATTATAATTTGAATTGCTAGTGATGTGTGGGTGGAATCTTTTCTTTTGCTAATTTGTGCTTCAAGATGGCCAAATGGAAATGCACAACTTCCAAGGGGAAGAGATTTCTTCTTCCACAACTTTCAATCCTTTTCCCTTAGAGAAAAACATGGTACTTAGAATTACTCCTCTCCTCTCCTCCCCCTTCCCTTCCCTTCCCAGGAGGAAGGGTTAACTAAACACAAGCACATTTTGCATTCTTGGAAGTTAAATCCCAGGGATTTTGTTTGTTTGTCCTCTAGCTGTTTCTCTGGAAAGCAGCTATTCGCACAAGTGCAATCCATGTTTGGAAATAAATTTTCATAGATGACTCAGTTGAACCAGGAGTGTAGAAAACAGCTGAACATGGGGGCAAAAAGATGCAATGGGCAGGAGGAAAAAAGGTGTGTTAGCAATCTGTGGTGTGCTCCTTTCAGACCTTTCCTTATCTACTCTATGCTTGTGAGCCAGATCAACTGCCAGCACAATAAAAGGTGTTTTAAACCTACTCCTGCTCTCCAGCTACTGTCTATTTTAAGAGTCTAGTGGACCTTGCACAACATGATGTTTGAAGAATACTCTATTTTTTCTCTTCTGCCTATCTCTGTGTGCTCAAAGAATAAGGAGAAAGACTCACTGCCCTAAGAAGAACCTTCCAAATTCTCTTTTCCACCTGACCCTTCCAAAGGCAAGACCATAACACTCCTTTGCTGTCAAGCTGAGTTTTTCCACACCTGCTCCTCTTAATTGTCTCCCTGTTGCTTATTCTGTCTTCCAAGTAATGCTGAGCAGTAGCTATCCTTGAATTAATTTCCTTGACTTTTTTTAAATCTAATGTCTAAAGAAGAGGGGGGTTGAATTTTGTGCTTTCAGCATCATTTGTGATAGTGCCATAATGTCAAGTGTAAGTGTATGCAGAGGAAACATGCTAACAATGCCAGGCATAAGTAATCTGTTATTGTGGAAGTTGCAAATCCTGTGTGATATTTAGGGAAATAATTTTAGTGCAGGATTACCTGCACTATTCTAAAACGATTCTGTCCAGTCCAGTCCCCCCCCCCCCTTTTTTTTTTTAAGAAGAACCACCTTCTGTTACCCTAATACAACTTACTGGCAAATTGTTTAGCATCTCTTGCCTCTGAGTTGATAAATTGGAAAAGGCGCTGTCTCCCATTGGTTTGGATTTGGCCCTGGGGTTCCAGTTGCTGTCCTATACATTCATTAATGTTCTGTCACATAGAGGTACTGAAGACTCAGAAGGGGTTAGGTGGTACTATAGCCATTTTCCTGAACCCAGTGCATTGGATTATATCACCCATAGTGATCCTTTCCTCTTATTCTATTGGCTGAGAGTAAATTTGGTACTGCCAATGGCATTAGGCCATGTTAAAAAGTTGCTGGACTTGGAAATTGAGAAAGTTTTTCTGTCTCTTCATTATCTTTGTATATACTGAATAAACTGATCAAGGCAATTAAAAAGCCTAATGTTTTCTTCTCCTTTTTTTGTATTTTTTTTAAATATGGTACAAACCAAATTGCTATGTATGTTTGCAAACCTATAGGATGTTTTAATGTGCTGTAATATATTCTGATATTCATATATTGTTTTTGGTTAAAACATTTGTATCAATAATGCAGTTTGTAAATGGTAATAAATGATACAATTTTGTCCTTCAGTCTGTGGTCTGGAGTATTCTGATGGCTTGTTGTGTGTTGCAAATTTTGCCTTCCCACATCTTCAGATTCCAAGTTATGCAAAAGAATCACAAACTGTTGCATTTATAGAGGAAAAGCTTATTAAAGGCAATATGATGTTGGAATGCATATTATTTTAGAAGTGGTGGTAGAATCTAAAATGCTGGTCATGGTATTATGCATAATTTGTTCCTTTTCTGTTACAGTGAGACTATAATGTCCATAATTCCTTTCCATTATAAAAGTTGTAATCCTGTTAAATCTGAAGAGTAAGAGGAACAGAAAGATGATAAAAAAAAGTAGCAGTTTAAATTGTGATATGACCACTTGTCATCTTTGGATATCCTCTATATTCACTTTCTTTCCTAACAGTCCCTGGCACCTGAATTTGCCTTTTTAATAGGCTGCTCACATAACTCAGTTTTTATGAGAGCTGAACTAAATATGGTAATAAATGTGTTTTTTCTTTCAACTGCACATTTTAAAAGGAATGCATTGGTTGTTATAGAAGATAATGGTCTTTCTCAGGATTGCAGGCAGGCAGACAGCCCGACATTTTGAATAGGGGGAGAACACACCTTGGCAACAACAGGCACCTGCCCCAATGTAAATATCCTTCAAAAGTAGATCCTTCCTCAATGGCATAGAAGACACTTTCCCCATTTCCTATGTCAAAGGTCTGAAACTCAGGCCTGAGCCCAACAGAAAACAGATACATCAGGATCAAAGGAAACCTGGTTTAGGTTTCAGGCACACTTTGGCGTATGAGATGCAAAGCAATCACAAAAACAAAGTCAACACTGGGAGCTACTGCCTCCCAGCACACTAAATAGATGGATTCTGCCCAGACCCACCCCCCTATCCACCTAACCAGCATCCGGAGCAATGATTGTGAGCATGTCAATTTCGTACTGATTCCCCCATGATAGGGGCCAGCACCCATGTACTGGGCCATAAGGAGGACCCCTCTACTGCCTTTAACAGGCTGCTGTGGAACACTGGGTGCATTCAACCCAAGAGATAGGGCAGTTTCAGTTTCACAGTGACTGGGTTGATTACCCATACTATCGGGAATGGTCCCAGAAACTTTGGGCCTAACTTTTTATATGGCACTTTCAGGCATAGGTATTTGGTGGATAGAAACACCATATCCCCCCACCTGGAATAATTTGTGGGGTGCCTTTTTTCATCAGCTTACGCTTTATAGACCTCTGCTGCTTTTGTTAGCACCATCTTCACATTCCCCCAGACCCCCGTATCCTATCTATCCACTCTTTGGGCTGGCATGGGGAGAGGGACCCCTGTGGGCACTCGGGAATCGGTACAAAGTCCACTCCATGAACCACTCGGTAAGGGGTGAATTCGGTGCTATTATGGACCATGTTATTATACGCCACTTCAGCAAACGGCAATAAGTCTGTAGAGATAGGGGTCAGGTAGAGGTCGTGAGCAGAAAACTGTCCCTCCAAAGCCTGCATGCCTCTTCTCTCTACATGATCTCATCCATTTACATTGCCATGGTGATGTAGGGAAATACCCCAAGCTGGTACATGATATCACCTGGTTCACATGATATCAGCTAGGTTACATCAACAGGATGTGGCAGAAAATTGCTCCCTGGTTGGGGCCTCCTAGCTGGGATATTCTTAAGGATTGGCAAGGGGTTTCACCAATAGAAATGTTGTTGCTATGCTGATGCCATGTTACTTTATGCTATTTGGAATACCTATATAAAAAGCAATAAACGCTGTGAAGGCAGTCGGACATATTTGCATCCTGCAATGACTGGTCACTGATTCCATCAGCTGGTGGCCCAAACAGGGACATTTGGGACACACACACACACACGTGGATGAGCAACAGCCAACATACTTAAAAGCGTCTGGAACAGACCCCTAAGTGCACTTTCATCCTCCGGGACCCCTCAGTGGTAAGTATGGGTTGCAAACTATCTCAGCACCAGCAGAAACATGTACAGGAACTCAGATTCCTGCTACATAAATCAGGTGTGAAAGCACCTGAGGCAGACATAAGGAAGCTGGTGGAGGAGGTAGGGAAATACTGCCCTTGGTATCCTGAGTGTGGGATGCTTAGGCTACGAGATTGGAAAAAGATAGGGCATACTTTATATACTCTTGAACCTTGGGCTCCAGTACAGATATTACATCGATGATATCAGTGCCATCAAGCAGTGGAAAAATTTGGCTCCTATGCTTCAGAAGGACAGCAATTAACTACCAGCACCCACCTGTTTGTGATCAAGTAAAAATTGTGCCTCCTAAAGCATCTTTAATTGGATCTTCAGCTCCCAGCCATCATACATCCCATAAGGAAAATATTAGAGGAACAATCTTGAAGTAGAAAAAAAAATAATACGGGGAATTGTCAGAGTAATTTAAAGAAACAAATTAAATCAAAATGTACTCTGCAATGTGTTTTGAACAATTGGAATGTTTTGAAACTTCAAGTAGCTGTTAAGTTTAACCCTGTCAGACAATGTCTGGTGGTGCTTTGTGTTGATGTGTAGTGTGTTTTGTTTATGTGTGTGTGTGTGTGTGTGTGTGTGTGTGTGTGTGTCCACCCAGAACATCACGCTTGGGCTTGGAATGGTGAGAAAAATAGGAGATGGTTAAAGGGCCCTATAAAAACCATGTTTGGTTGGAATCACTTCATGATTTTTCTCGCTTCTTGCAGGACAAGCCATATGTCTAAATAAATGTTGTTTTAATAGCATTTGTGTATATATGTTTGTCTGTGTTGTTCTGTGTTATTTCCAAGACTTGGAAGAGGGTCAAAACCCTCTCTGATAACAACACACAAAAAGGCCTTATTTAAAAATAAATGGTTTGCCTGGAGAAAGTATGAAATTAAACATTTGTATGTGGAATTGTTTATGCAAGCAAGTGTGTGTGTTAGCCCTCAAACTCCACCCCCCACCCACTCCCTCTCAGGCTGTGAAAGAAATAGTAAACTGCAGATTTTATTGTTGTAAAAGTAAATTGAAAAGCAATAGTAAGTGTTTGCATGAGAAGAGTGCCATGGAGGATGTGTGAGAGAATTTATGGGAAATGCATATGAAGGAGAGAAAACTATTTTTTAGTGGTGAGATTTTTGTAAAATTTCTTTTTCTTTTCTCCTGTCTCTTTCGTTTCTCCACTGGCTGTGTTGCCTTAAGAGCGAGACAGACAGAAAGAAGAGGGGGCCGGTTTGTTTTAACTTTTTTTCCCTCTGCTTAGAATTCTGATTTGAGACTAGTGGAGTGGATGTGAAATTTGATGCCATTCTTGCAGTTTCAGCTTGCAATTTTTTACTTGAAAGAGGAGACGGTAATTGTTGGACAATTTTTTTGGGGGGGGGGGAAATTGTTGAGTTTAAATTGTTTAGTTAGACCTATATATCCATCAACCAAAAGAAATGACTCTGAATTGTTTTGCTTAGATTTGTAAATGTTTAACCTATTTACTGGAAATTTGTTTCCATCTGAATGGAATTTGATTAAATTGGAACTTGACGCATTGTCCAAAGGAAAACAACCTGGAAATCTCATTGTAGTTCCACCTGCAGCACTTGTTGCAGTTAGGCAAATTAATGACATCTTGAGTACTCAATTTGTGGACAGAATTCCACATAAAAATTGTCATTGTCCTACTAGTAAGCTACCTACAGGAGTATTAGCTGTGTTAAAAGTGCAAAAAGTATATTGTATTGAATGGCTTTACTTACCCCACACCCCATCCCAAAATGTTTTATCTTTTATCCAGGTGGTTGCTGAAATAATAACCTTAAGACGCACAGGAGCTTGCTGTAGAAATGGGACTGATTTAATTAATATTGTTCTTCCTGTCCCAAAATCTAATTTTCAATTTTGTTTTCAGAATAACTTATCTCTTCAGTGTGCTTTAACTGACTATATAGGCTCTATTTCATATCATCTGCCTAAAGATCTCGACTTGCTTGTTTAATGACTTTTTCCTTTCCTGTCCGCCCACTGCTTTCTTCTTCTCCCTTGCCACAAGCTCCTACTGTTTTTCCTGATGGAGGGTGAATGAGAGGAGCAATTGCTTACAAGTATCCTCATGATGATACCTGGAAAGTGTCCTACACTGCAATGCAATCCTCACCACAATGCTCAGAATTATCTGCTGCTATTTTAGCTTTCCACACCTTTTCTCAACAAACTTTTAACTTAATCTCTGACTCTCATTATGTATGCCAACTTATTTTTAATCTTCCAGGTGCTTATATCACCCCCAGGATCAACCCCAATCTTATGGCTTTGTTTTTAACTTTACAGCAACTGCTACAAGACTGAAAGCATTTATATTTTATTTCTCATATATGCAGTCATTCCTCCCTTCCTGGGACTCTTTTTTCTCTTTTTTTATGTCTTCCTAACCCCCGTGGTTTTGCCTCTAATCAACTATGGCAAATGGAGGTTACCCATGTTTCCTTTTTGGTTCCCTGGAAATATATTCATTTATCTATTGATACCTATTCAGGAGCAATTTGGGCCAAGCCTCAATGAGGAAAAACAGCTGCACATGTTATTTTTCATCTTTTTTTGGCCATTACTGCCTTGGGTAAGCCCTCCTCCTTAAAAACTGATAATGGGCCAGCCTATTCTTCAATGGCCTTTTTGCAATTTTGCACAACCTGGAATATTGTTCTTACTCATGGCCTTCCCTATAATTCCTTGGGTCAAGCCATCATGGAATGTGCTAATCGGTCCTTTAAAGACTGCCTCCACAAACAAATAAAAAAGAACGGCTCTAGGGTACCCAATTTGTTGTGGGTAACCTAACAGGTTAAAAAAAAAGTATTATTTACATTAAACCAATTGAATGTTTCCATTCAAAATTTGACCGCTTATCAGAGACACTTTCAACAGAAAACAAGCTTGCCTCCGCCTCTGGTATATTATCAGGCTTTACCAGACAAAGCATGGTTGGGACTGGTCCCTCTGATCACTTGAGGATGAGGC